TTTTTTTTTTTTTTTTTTTTTTTTTTTTTTTGCAGAAACATTTGAAAATGGTGATTGTGTAAGTGACATGAGCAAAAGCACTTACTATTAATGTGCAATTTTCGGTATGTAGTTCGAAAAAAAGTATCTTGGCAATGAAAAGTTGTGTGGTTACATGTACATAAGTATCTGAATAATTGCTATTATTTTTTATTTTTTGGAATACGCCGAAAGATGGAAGAGAAGGCAGCTTTGGGTTATATTTATAACTTTGTTCATTCAGAGTGATGATCAAAGATCAGAAGGGAAAGTAGTTTTACAGTGTTCGTTGAATATGTAATAGTTAGTAGACAGTTTCAGAAATACTTCTTTTCTTCTTTGCTCTCTCGTTTTCCCTCTTACAACTCCATTGATCAGTTTTTGAGCAATTTATTTGCAGGATTTTCCTGATTGTGTTGAGATTTTGTTTGAGAAAAATGAGTTTTTTCTTTATTTTACTGGTGCTGCTGTGGTATTGATGTGGATTGGTCACATAATAAATTATTGAACTGCTTGAATTTCAGATGAAAAATAAAAATTTGGTTGTTGAAGTGCCTCAGCTTTGTTTTGTTAACAACTGAAACATGGGTTCAAGAGGACTTTTTAATTGGGTAGGGTGGTGGTTGTTGCTGACACTTTTTATATGTTACCCTGCATTTTGCTCACTGCGTTGTGTTTTTGCGCTTTTGTCAGTGCGAAGGATGTCATCGAGTAAAATGTTAATCAGTTTAAGAGATTTTCTGGGGTTGAGGGGTTGGTGTATTGCATGTGTAGATGGACATCTGCTGAGGCTCATTGAGTGGTTGTTGTCGTCGCCATTGTTACCATCGTTGTTGTTATTGTTGGTGTTAAAAGGTTGGTGGGCATTGTCTGAAAAAATTCTTAGGAGGAACATTACAGTTCTGCGTGTGTTGTTGGGGGATCTCAAGGCTTAACTCACAAGGCAAAGGAGTAGGAGAAAGGAAAAGGTAGTCGGTAAACTTAGATGATTTGATCGAGAGAAAGCAAGTGTTTGCAGGTGAAAGCTTTCTTTGAAGCTATTATGTGAGGATATATTGTTTGCGTGTTCGTTTGTGTGTGCAAGTGCTGTTTTTGTTTCTACATACACGTGTGCTCTGGGTATTAATGACCTCGTTCTTCATCCTTCAGCAAGAAATTTTCTGTTTTTTCTGAAGTTTCACTATATAATATATACAAGTTAAGTTAAGGCTGATATATGTACAAGTTAAGGACGAAGGTAAATGAAAGGAAAAGCTGAAAATTTGGTATCGTTGCGGTTTGAACGAACAAAGCTTATTATTGAATGACTGGGCGATGATCTTAGTTTATCGTTTACTCTCATCCCTTCCTATTGTAGCCGTTAAAGTTATTCACCAATTTTACTCTGTTTATTTCACTACCTTCAGTGCAGTTTACTTTTCTAATTCTTTATCGTGATGTCAAGGAATGTACTGAGTGAACAGGAAAGAGCAGAGAAGGAAAAGACTGCATTTTTTTCAAGAAACTCGTTATTACACTCACTTATTATTGAAATTTAGTGAACCATATAAGCAATAAGTACTCCTGCCTAAATTTGTGGCATTTATGTTTTTATGAACTGAAAGAATTGCACATGGTCATTTTGTAAAAAAAGGGACACAAAAAAGACCTTGGAAAATCATTTGCGAAATGTTCAAGCATTCAAAACCAGGCAATTATGATGAATTTGAGCAGCAAAAGCTGAGTTTTGGTGAAAAGATGTGTGGAGCGCGAAGGGATGAAGAGAAGGAAGGAGGAACGAGAGGGATAATTGCATAGCGAAAGGTAAGGGAGCAGTCTGTGTAAGGAAAGAACATTTTGTTCAGTATTTTTTTAGACCCAGGAAATACTGGATAAAGGAAGATTTTCTTTCTTTTTTTTTGTTCTTATATCTTTTAGCTGTCAAAAGATTGGTCATTTATGCTTTTGAAGCCACTTCAGGATCACCGGCATGTCACTGTGTATCCATTGCACAAGTGCCACCGTGTCACTAGTGTAGTCGTTGTTGTTATTAGCCGTTGATCATATTTTTGCAGTTCCAGAGATTGGCTACTAATCTTTTTTGCTATTGCAGATCCAGTTTCAGGCACCTGTGAATTGGCTTTTCCCTGCAAAAAGAAGAAAAAAAAACGCAATTGTTATTTTTGTTACCGAGCTATATGCTTGGCTTTCTTATTCCAGAAAAAGTCCGAAGAACTGTGCAAATTTTTCCTCATAAAACACTTTGCAGCCGCAAATTATCAGATAACGTTTGGATGGCGATCAGTGAACAACAATGTTTTCTCCCTTTTTCTTTTTTTGGAAGCCTTAATTAAATATGTCCCTAATAAGGTTTTTACTTGTTTTCGGCCACATTATTAGATGGATGAAACTGCTGCTGCTTCTGTTGCCGTCTGCTGTGCTATCAAGCTAAAATATGATATATATATATA